ACCTGTTTTTACAAATTTTCTTTAGCTTTTTTGCATTCCTTAAAACATTTAATTAAAAATAAATAATAATTGAATTGCAATATAACCTAGACGACATCATTGACATACCATACTAATATTTAAATAAACTGTATCTTTTATTGTGTCAACTATTGGACGATCTACGTCAATAACGCCATCCTATAAATAATTAATTAAATTGATATTTAATAATTACAACTTTAAAGACATGGATGATATACCATATTATCCAATGGGTTTTCCATTTCTTATCCTGAATTAATAGTTTGAAATTCAGTTTCTTCTACTTACTTCATTTCCCACAAGATTTATTTAGGTAAAATACTTGAAGATAGTCTAGTTTTTGGTACACTACCAAAGTATTCCTTATGAAGTACCTTTAATTCCAAAATGTAAAGCTTTGTTTTTCATACATAAACTGAAGGTCTTCACTCTATTTTTTGGTATTATAGCTTTACATCCACGTAGTTAGCACATTTTCAATATCCTAGTTTGCTCTCTCCGCGCTGCCCTGAGATTCGCCATACACAATAATCAATTCGGACTACATATTTTTTAAATAATTTACAATTTAATTACAAAATTCTTGACCTTTATCTAATTTCAATAATAATAAAGCACCAAATAGACAAAAAAATATATATCCAAAAGTACATTTACAATCACTTCAGCTCTTTTAAATTTCATTGATACTAAAATAAAAAATTTGGTCAGATAGTCCGAACAATCAAATTTATTCCCTGGTTAGACTGAAATTGAAAATCAATTAAATCAAATTGTTAACTTGATTACTTACGAATAGTGTTAATTTTTCAATGCCGTTTATTTTTACAATATTATAATGTTTTATTACTTAATAGTCACAAACAAGTCCTTTTTTTTATTTTCATTTTTTTTCACGTCTGCCATCAAACTCGCATATTTTTATTTTGTTAAAATTGCACCGTTTTGTTTTATTGGTTTTAATCAACAATTGTTAACACTAATATAAAACTTTTCTTTCATTAAATCTAATTCATTCGAATTCAATATAAACTATATTGACATTTAAAATAATATTGTGGAGACAGACAAACCAAAATTGAACACGTATAACTGTAAAATTATTAGATACTAAACATTATATAATAATACGATAAACGTATATGAACATTGCCTGTGTGGAGCCGAGTGCTAATTTATATCTGATACGAATAAACTAACCAAGACAACAGATAAGACGTCATTTCTGTGACCCAATGTTATCGGTGTTCATATTTTTTACAATTTGACACATTTACGAAATGATGCCAGATGACGTATAAAACTATAAAATAACGAGTTAAAATATATAAATTATATACATTATATAAGTATTTCATAAATTATCTAATTCAATACTTTAATTTTTACATAAACATATTTGAAATTTATTTTAATGTGATTGATAATATATAATATAACCTACAGTTTTGTATTATTTTATTCACATAATTCACTCAATTCGTAAAATATTAAAAATTATTTTTAGTTTCCTTTTAATATTTAATGATAGACCGTAACCAATCTGTGTATAACTTTATCTTTTAGACTTACTTTTTATTGGTAAGCTCTATACCATATACTACCACATACACTCTATACCAGAGGCTCCCAAACTATGGGTCGCGATCGTATTTTTAGTGGGTCATGGGTCACGTTATACTTTTAAATAATACATTTTTTTAAACATTATATAGTTGGTCATTAAAATCAAAAAAACAAAAAAAAAAAGTCATAAAATGGGTCGCCAAAATTTAAATAATTTCCAAAATAGGTCGTGCCATAAAAATTTTGGAAACTTCTGCTTTGAGTCTGCTCTATATCAATGTTTTTCAACTCTTGTTATATGGTGACAAACCATTAAAATATTTTAATATTTCAGACTTTGTGACACATAATAAATAAAAAGAATATTGTGTAATATTTAATTTGAATTGGTTATATAAAATATTGATATTAAATGACACATTTAAATTAATTTAGCGATACACTGAAAAACACTGCTCTATACATTGTTGTCATTATATTGACGGTGGTTTATATAATTACATGACTGACCATACCTATTGTTGCATTATGTTTAAGTAAGTAGTATTTTATTTTTGATTAAAATCCAAATAGATAACTTTTATTATTTGTTGTATATTTTTAATTAAAAACTTCAACCATGTGACATATTACTCATACTATGTTTTATATAAGGTGAACAAATGAATATATTTACTTAACAACTGTTAATCATATTTTATATTGAAAACTTTTACCAGCTAGCAACTTTAATCAATAAAGATTTAATAAAACCGTTACAGAGTACTCAGAGTAATAAACACTTATGAGTAAACTCAAATATTTGTTTTTAAATATTCAAAAATAGATTGCAGCTTAATGATATTTCTATATTTTTTATTAATAAGAAATCTATAAGTAATATTTAAAATTATTATTAACTGGTTAACTTAACATAAGTATTGTATATAATTGACTTTTAATTTAAATTAAAAGATAGACGATTTATATAATGTAATTAAATCGTATAAGTAGGTAAGCGTTTTAATATAAAATATTTATTACATACCCATTATTTATATTATAATTAACTCTAAATTTTTAACAATTAATATATGTCAAGCTTTAGATAAAACACAACTACTATTATTCCAAGTTCTGAGACAGATTGTTTATGACAAAATGTATTTTTATCAAAATTATAATTATGTAATAACTGATTGTTCACTGAATTAATATTCAAGAGGTAGATACTCAACACATAATTAAGTGTTAACCTCCTTTTTTGAAATTACACATAAAATGTTTCTAGTGATTTATACATAGATATTTCATGTTTCAAAAGAATGACCTAGTTTTCAGCTTTTTAGTTTGAACCTAGATTACGTGAAAAATGTATAAACTGCGTTTTCAATAAATAACAATCTTACATTTTAATTCAATTCATGATCCATTTCATTTAGTTCACATAAATATTTTTCAAGTCATTGTAAAATTTAAATACTATACACATTATCAATACAATTTATTTGCTTTAAAAAAAATTATATTTTTTAGGTTGTTTAAATTTTATTTTAAATCTTAAATCTTGGTGTAATAAAGCACCCTAAACAATTAAAATTTGAAAAAAAAATCTAGAATAAAAGTCAAAACATTTATTCATATTCACGCAAATATTTAACTGAATATAATTCAACAATTAATAATTTTGGAAGCATGTGAAAAACACCTGTCATTGAGTATTTTGACAATACTTAAGCTAACCTCGCATACTTTACAAGAAGAAATAATTTGTTTATTATTTAGATCATAGAAACAGACACAAGGTTTAAAACTTTAATTTCATATCTAACATACCACAACGAATAAAAAAAGTCCCACAAATTCACTTTCAATCAAATATTAATATCATCAACTTCCTAAAAAAAATTGAACTACCATATAACTTAATTTAAGCTAAACCTACATTGTAAACATTACATAAATATAATTTAAGGTAATCGCCCTATATTCCAATGTTAGAAATATAAAAAAAAAATTCAGTTCTTTATCTCATTTTGAATTTTAATGTAGTGAACTTAAGTAGATAGATATTTAAAGATAATACATTAGTTACTAGAAATTTTTAATCAATACTTAAGATATAAATGTGTAAACAATGTTTCTTTTATACTTGAAAATTCTTAAATCTTATTCTTTATGTACCAATATTATTGATAACCTATATTTTACAGTAAATTTATTAACCTGCTTTGGTGTTTTTTTTTTTTTATTTAAATAAAGTTTTTTGAAACATTTTTATTTTTTAATAAAAATTATAAACTTGACGATTTATTGTACATAAATTTAACAAACTCACAGTTTATTATTTATAAATATTTACAGTATTGATGAAGGGGAGAGGGAATAAAAATGATGTTGGTAGTCATATGCCTACATAAAAATATTAAGGTATAAATGTGCAATAAAAAAAAAAAAAACATCAAAACGCAATAATTATTAAGTTATATCATAATAAATTTCATTACAAAAGTCTATATATATGACCTACTTAAGCTGAAGGAAGAAGAAGAAACAATTATGTAAATTATAAAAAATGCATATCTGTTCTGTGGAATTAAATTATTAAATTATTGATATTTGTAGTTCAATTTTTTTTTTTTTTTTTTTGTATGTAATATAATTTAACTTGGTACCTATTAAGTAACTTACATATCAAAATACATAACTCAGAATTTATAAAAATTCAATTTATGCGCAGATAAAGATTTTATAATACATATTAATTATATTAATAATGTCAGTAGCAACACAGTATAAAATAAAATATAATATATAAAAAAGTGATTGAAATTTGCAACCAAAATCAAAAACTTTTAATCAGTAAAATGTTGTAATTATTTTTAAAATGTATATTAATCTACGTATCAACAGAAATTGCATGGTAAAAAATAAAAACGTAATAAACATATCAACTCTTGGAAACTTAAATTAAAATGTGATGATTAACTTAATAGTAAATATTTTACTTAATCTTAAAAATTAAAAGATTAAACATTCTTGTGGGAACACATTATAGTGATTATTATAGACACAATAAATAATAAGTGACTACTAAATCACATTTTAAATTATTTATGGTTGTTACATGTTTTTATGAAACCATTGAATTATTTTATTATAAACTTACACACTCAATTAATATAATAAAGTTACTGATAAAGCATACCATTATTTTTACTTTGAAAAATGATTAAAGCAGTTTAAATAAGTCACAAAAAGTAAACAAATTATAAGTTGAATTAAATATTATGGAGTGCTCTCTTATTTATATAGATAAAAAATAAATTATTGTAATACATAAAAAATAAATTATACATTTTAAGTTTAAATGCAATAAAAAGCAACATTATTACATATTAAAAAAAAAAAAATGATTTACCTATAACATTTGTTGAATAAAATAAATATTATATCTTTAAAATTTAATTTAATAATAACATTACATTTTTTTATAAATATAACTTATTCGCCACGGTATGTGAATGCAGCATCAACGACAAACACAACTCCATTGAGAATAGACAACCAAGCCTTGGTTAAACCAGTGTTGACATAGGATGATTTTAATGAATATCCATTGTAATAATTGTACGACATAACTCCAGATGCAATGAAGAGAGCAGCACCAATTAACACGTAGAACATGTCCTAAAACATTATTATATATAGCCATGTAATAGATAGTACAAGTTTCGACTGACTCGACTTAGCTCAGAATAAAATTTTAAAAAGTTAATTCGATTGTAAACTTGTATCGTTGATTTTAAAATAGTACAGTATAATATTATACGACCAATAGTCGTATCTATATTCTATATTATAGCCTATGTACTTTTTTGAAAAATCATTTACAGTAGGAATACAAAAAAATATGTAAACCGAATTAACATTTTCAAAAATGTATACCAGAAAAATTCGGTCAACTTTTTAAGTAAAAAGAATAAGAAATATAAATATATAGAACAAATAAAACAAATAGATTATGTAATAAATTAAATAATACTAACAACTCAAAATTTAACTAATTATTGATTTAATTTATTATTTTTATTGTTAGGTTGTAGTTATTTTTAGTGTAAACACCATTATTTATTTATTGTAAATATATGAACAAATTTCGAAATCATTTGAATAGACTCACCAGTCGAGAACTTATTGGCGTTCCAGTGAAAAGTCCAATGAAAATTCCAGCCAAAATAATCACATAACCGACATACGTCCCGGTAGTGATCATGACCGATGTCGTATCACCTCCCGGAAAACTGTTGTAATGCAAAACGAAAATGATGATAGTTAAAGCCTATGAAAACATAAAAATCATACAATTATTATTATTATTTATCATGCAATATCCACATTAATTCTAACTCAATGAAAATTTGATTAATAATTAGTGTTTACTGTGGGTAACTCTCCCAATAGCAACTCTGATCTTAAAAACTATTATAATTTTAGATTCTTAATGGAACGATGAATAATAAATGTATTGAATTTACAGCAGTATTTATTTTTTTGTGTATGTATACAGAATTTATAGTAAAAAAAAAATAAAAATATTTTTGTACACAAACTCAATCTCTTTTCTGATAAAAGTATAAAACACAAATCTTGTTGATACTTTTAGAAGTACAAAATTCCAGTACTTTTCAAAATAATCCAAAGAATTTTTACAAAAAATGTACGATGTTCAACATAAAATCGATGTTTTAAATAACCATAAAAGCTTGATAATTCTACAAAACGTTTATTAACACATTTACATGGTATAATTTTTAAAATATTTTGACTTTCTTGAGTAATTTAAAGATATAAAAAATATTCCTTTATTTTTAGTTTTTTTTTTTTTTTTATTCAAATTAAACACAACGTTACACTAACTTACTCAATGATGAGGTACACTCAACACTTAATGGGAGATGGTGAGCTGTGGCAAAATTTACCTTTTTCTAAAAGTCGATATGTAAACTGCGGTAAAAAAAATTAAAATTATACAATCTGCGACAAAACCGATAAGATACATCATACAAACTGCGACAATTTATTTTATATACTTTCTATATATACCTACCTATGTGTATCTATGTACGTATATCATTAAATTAATTATGTGATGTTGCGTCTTGCGTACAAATTGGTAAGGTAAGTGTCCAAATGTATTTTTAAGTTTTAATGAAACATAAAAAAAAAAATTAGAAATTAATACAGTAGGGTAATACAAGAAAGAAATAAAGCGACAACGAAAAAATACAAATTTATCAATATAATACAGTGACAAATAAAAGAAGATGGAGAAATTTCAAGATATAAATTTTTGAAAAAAGTATGTTTTAAAAATAAATGACATAATTTTATTTAGATACCTATTGTATTATTATTTATTTATTTTTTATTTTTGTTTATACGATTTTTTTAAATTATTTTTTATAATAATAATATTTTTTAATTTTAAAATTGGTTTTTCGATTATACGATCATTACGATCTAATTTTTAATAATAATATACTTTTCAATTTTAAAAATTGGTTTTTCTTTATTTTTACGCCTAATACTCTAAGAGATGCTAATAGCTGTCATAACAAATAATATGTATTATACCTAATTAAACGATACTCGTGTACATAGATTATCAAAACGATATGTATATACATGCAGTATACATAGAAAGTATATAAAATAAATTGCCACAGTTTGTATGATGTATCTTATCGATTTTGTCGCAGATTGTATAATCTTAATTTTTTTTTTTTTTTGCCGCAGTTTACATGTCGACTTTAAGAAAAAGGTAAACTGCATGCTGTATGTACAGCATATTGACTACCTATAATTTTACAAAATTAGCGTTTTCTGTTCAGGGATTCACCCTGTTGTATAGGAGATATAAGTTTTTAAATCTATGTAAATGTAAACATTTACAATACATAAACACAAAATACATATGGATTTATAAATCATATAAATTATTATGTTAGAAAAAAATTTAAAATACGAGTACTACAATATTAATCTGATGAATTATATGTATATAACTATGTGATAAGTCACCTATTACATACAAACAAAATATAGATGTATGTAGGTAGGTACACATCATTGTTTTAATTAAACATTCATTTTTTTTTATTATTATTATTATTTAAACATATTTTAATAACTAGTTTTAACTGAACATAAAGGAGAAACAATTAAAATTTTTCCAACATTTATTTATTCATGATTTCACTTAAAAATATGATTTAAAATACTACTGTAGAATAAAGGTCTAATATTATTATGAGATCAATTGTTATAACTATTATAACCATATTAAATTAATTTTTATTTAAACGATAAAATACAAATATTACTTACAAATTTACAATAGATTATTATTTTTTTTAAAACATGTTTAAAGAACAAAATAAATTTAAATTATGATATGATCAAATTGTGTACCTAACTGTGGGATCGGTGAGATAACATTTGGTAATATTATAGTTATTGTTTATTAATGAATAATGATAATTTATCTAAGTCTCCCTCCTCCCTAACGCATCTTCACAGTTCATATTAAAATGAAATGTACACATAAATTATTTTTATTGGGAAATGAAACAATTCCAAAATATTCGTCGAAAGTACACAATATAATAACATATTTGCTAACGTAACAACTGAAGCAGTGACGCATGTTTCTATTTCCATACATAGGCTTTTCAACGGTGATCTAGTGGTATGACAAAATGAGTATTCGTGTCAACGATAAAATGTCTAAAATGCGAATAGAATAAACCTAGAAAATAAATAGAATAGTGTCAAGGATTCATCCGCAATTCAATTCATACCACGCAACTTTCACAAAGAAATAAAATAAAAATACACATATACAATTTTAATGTGTTGGCAGTGGCAATAATAATTATTATTATTATACTTCCAGCGATACATAAAATATAAAAACAATGTGCCGAAACGATTCAGGGTCATTACTACGTGTCTAAAAATTGATTCGTGTAAACCTATTTTGCATTTAATTTACGGTTTTGTAATAGAAACGACGATTATTACACTGGTTCACATAATCAAAATACCGTATCAGACGGGACAGCATATTCCGGCGCACGATAGTGTACAAACATTAGTCATCACTAATATTATGTATTAAGTAAGTACCTCATATTTACATTCTTCGGATGAATCATTGTAAGGTGCCCTTGAATATAATGAAACGATTCCTTAAAGAAAATACATATATAGCTGCTAATATACTAAATATTATAATTTATAATGCATACCCACATTTTAAATTGTCTTTAGGCGTAATAATAATACTCGTGCGGTAGAATATTAAAACAAGGTCCAAATTGCAATTTTATTTAGAACCTCCTATTTAACACGCGGAATTTTCCAATGTTATTATTTTATTTTATTTTATCGTTGAGATTATTATCAGTCCACAAGGACTTCCGTAGGCGTTTTTCAGCCAATTTTAAATATGTTAAAATTTCAAAAAAACTTGACATCCATTAAGGGACAGAGTTCATTTTATATAATTACATCACCACGCCAAGCTATATGCAAATAGACAATTAGTTAAATTTTTTGATAAAATATATATGATATTATATTATAATTATATCATAATTTTTAAAAATGATCTAAATACGAAAGTACTATAAATCAATAAAAATTACAAAATAAGTAACTATACGGAATTAAAAATTACCGTTAGTAAATTAAGTTTAAACTCAGAAATAATCGTCCTAATTTTGATTTACATATGTCAACATTATTAACAAAAAATCATCTGCTTAACAGTTTTTAGCAAAATAAGACAGTTCTCATTTGAATAAATGAATTTACATCGACTCAGAGTATTCCTTAAATGGGAAAATAAATCAATAAATAATAAATACATAATTAAAGGATAAATTTGGGTGTTTAAAGTGAGCACGCTTGATGGATCATGATTCTGTATATTTAAATTATCCGTTGAGACTAACATAACATATTTTGTTTCTAAATATGGAAAAAAGTTTTATAAATATTTATTTAAATAACCGTACATTATTTCAAAACACCATAATAAAATACTAAATAAATCATGATATAAGATATAAAAATATTATACCTATAAAAATAAATATTTTATTTAATTTAAGTTTCATAATTTTGTAATTATACATAATGACTAAATGCAGACCTATAAATTATAAGTACATTAATTTGTGTAATATTAAACTTTATCAATCCATTTTCACCCATTCTATGCTAATTTACTAAATTTAATATTACACGTCTTCCCACAACACCTAATATACATAAGTTAAAATAAAATAATCATTCTAGTCAAGCAATATTTTTTCAAATAAGTCATCATTGTAGTGCGATAATAATAGACTAACAGGATGAAACTAAATAAAATATCAATCATCAAAATAGATAAATCGCACAACAACTCCATGATATCCAGCAGGTAACTAGAAACCTATTTAATAATTTTTTTAATGACTTAAATTAAAATAATTTTTATACTCGTCGGTTCAACATTTCAGAAAACCCGTAAATCAATGTTATCTGTAAATCCAAGTCCAATCTCGTTCTCTCACCAAAGTTCTCTTAAAAAACTACTCTAATGTATGTTTTTTTTGTGGGACATCAAAGGATATTTATCCCATACTTGAATCTGAAATATCATATAATTTGTTAATTGCAGAAATAAAAAAGGACACGCCTCTATTCACTGTGTTCGTCAATACCAATTAGAAATTTTCATCTCATAATCATGCTTCGAAAACCAGATCACTTTCCAAGCTTAATAAAAATAATATTAAAACAGATGCAGAGACGCAGCGACTTAAAGGAACGTAAATAAATAACATGATATACCAGCGTCATTCTCGTGAAGCTGGCTAACCATTCACTAGTCATTATAATATGCTATAGCCCTACAAACACTAACATGGATTTTGTTATTTTATTATTATTATAGTCATACAGTCAAAAATGAATTTATACATTTTTCACAATCCTAAAAATCTACCTAACCGTATAAATATTTTTTCTAATTTCCTTCTATTATTATCATTATTTTCATTCACATTCAGTAATACCAGCTCAAAACATAAAATCCACTTATTCCTTTTCCAATAAATCTTATAATGTTAAAGGAATAATTAAATATAGTACTCAGCTTAAGCCAGTGTTACCGCCGTGACATTACAAAGTATTTAACCTAGGATATAAGTAAATCATATGGCTTTTCAAAAATGAAAGAACATAAATTCCATATATCTCCATATGGAATAAATACTGTTTATAATGCTGAATCAAAATTAACACATTTAGCATAAAACAAATAAATCAAAATCGGTGAGATTAAAAATAAATATTTTAACGAGTAACAGTGAACAATTCTGAGTTTTTATAATCATTTTTTACAATAATTTCGTTTTGACAAGAGTACAATTAACATAGAACTACACTACGCTAGATAGTAATCTATTCAAAATTCAAACAACATAGAAAAATATATAAACTATACCGACTAAAAACATCAGACAACTGTGACGTTTATATGTCAACATATTATGTATTATGTAAATTGTGAAATCGTGTAAAAATAAACCTCGATTCTCAGTACAAAGTAATAATAAATAAAAACATATAAATTGTAAAAAACGTATGAAGATATTATAATGTATCAACTTTAATGTAGCTAACAGAAATTACGTGATAAAATGCAGATTGGGAAATATTTTGAATAAGTCAGATAAGTTATTTATCCAAATGGAAAGCTAAATTAGGTAGATTCATTAATCATCATAGTAAAATTCTAATATAACGAGTAAACATTAGCCCGAGGACCATAACAAAAAAACCATCTTCTTTATCTCTTTAAGTTAATCATGTCTAACATGATTATAAGTAGTCATTATTTTAGCTTTTAACTATTTTTGAATGCTCTTGGTCTTAAGACAACGCATTCCGAATACATAATTTGTTTCAATAAATACCTATTTTTTGAACGATTTTTTTAGCATTTTCAGATCATTTTATTTATTTTTAGTATAAATTTTTACTGCAAAATATAAATAAAGAAATTCAAAATAATAATTCAAAAATTATATTAAATAGATTTTAGGTACCTATCTTTAATAATACTTTATGTAAATTGTTTTAAAAATGATTGCAAAAACATCTTTTATCTATCTCCAGCGATTATCAAATTGTGTGGTTTCTTACTCAGACTTAAATAACAGTTAACTAATCAGTTCGAGATACATCATTATCCCATTAACTTCCAGTAAACTGTTTACTTTTTGTGTGTGCTTGAGTTTGATATTTTATTTTTGTATTACTATTATTATTGCTTAGTTAAGATAAAGAAATATTAAAAATTCCGAAAATAAAACTATAGTTTCATCGCTTCTTAGGCATATTTTTGTACTTATAAAAAAAAATTAGCAACAACATAATATGTAAATATAAAATAAGAAATTAACTGATAATATACACATTATATAGAGCATAATATATAAGTAAAAATGATGTATTATTAGTCACTATGTATAATTATTTAATACCAACAGCCCTTGCACACTATAATAAACATCAGTCTAAAAATGTACAATAAAATCTTGATTATAACAAACGCAATTTTCATTCAAATACCTACTATTACAACACGCACGTCTTCTAAATACTGTATAACCAATTAACGCCACTTATGCAAATTTATTACTTAATACAATACTATTTAAGGTTGGCTACGATTGACCCACCACAATAGATATTACTTATTAGTTATTAGTTATTACCATCTTGTTAATTCTATGTACCTCTATACAGTTAATAAGAACACAATATTCGTAGGTGACGGTTTATGATATCTCTAATAGAACTCAAGAAGGACGAATCGCTTTAGAATTTAGAATTTAGAAAGTTTTACCAACTCGGGGTCGATGGATTTAAACAGGTTAAAACGTTTTCGAATGGGTATGTTGTACTAGGACAGGTATCGTAGTTACGTGTTTACAAAACATCATAAAATAAACCATAATTTTGCTATAAAAAAAGAACAATCGACCTTTACGCGTTTCAATTATATATATCAGCATATATAGGTATTAATAGATACTTGTTAGTTGACAGGTAAAAAAAATAACTACTTTCTTTTAACAAATAACACAATTTTCGACCATTGATCGCAATTACTACTGCAGTCATTATATCATATATTATCGCCGTGCCACCGGTACTAAATATTACCTTTGTAACCATAAAAAAAGTATAATAACAGCCACCTAATAGATAATAATAATGGAAAACATGGTATGCTATTCATACAATGTTAAAAATGCAGTAAACCTATTATAAAAATCAATTATTTAAAAATAAAAATAAATACTTAATACTAAATCATACCTATTTACGATATATGTTTAAAAAGTTGCAATGCTTATTATATTACAACACTAGCAGTAAGTATATAGTAGAATTCTTCGTTTTATAATTTATGAACATATTTATGTTATATACTCACGAGTTCCAAAAATTTAATCATGGTAATTTTCGTGATCGCCATCTTGTTTATTTTGAATTTTGGTTTTTACTTGTTTTATTCTAGGCAACTGCAAAAATATAATGGTTGACAAATAAGTTATATAATTAAATTAATAATATGATAACACATCATAATAGCCAGTAAGTTTTAGAGTAATAAGGTCACGTTCGTGTAGGTGGCTTTGGCTATGATGTACCTCAAATATGGGAGTGGTAGCTGTGACCTTGGTAGATTTGATCATTGTTGATAAAAACATTAATAATACTAATGACGTAAAACATCGTATATTAATTTTAAATACCAGGTCCTCAATATTATATTTTGTTCAATCGGAAAAATGTTTAGTGATCATTCATACTAAATATCTTGTGAACTTGCTGTGTATCAAAGAACGGAAATTAATAATATTTTGGTTCAACATTTGGGTTATTCATGTGAAGGACAACCAGGTGTGGTTGCTTCCATCCTGGGGCTACATGATGCAGGTAGGTATCGATTTGTTAAAAATTTTTTATTTTAACAACTAAAATACTGTTTTCATATTATGCATTATGCTATCGTCTTTAGAGGTTATATTACATAGTCAACGACGAAAAACGCTTCGTATATAGTTAATAAGTAGATACAGAATAGGCAAGAAAACTTGAATATCATGTTTTAACAAATTTTATGGATATTATCTGGAAAAAATTCAAAAACTCGTTAGTGTTAAGCGATTAGTTTTCTATGACAGATTTTCTGAACGATGTTAAATAAATGCAATAACAATAAATATGTATACATTTTTTTTCGTATTTACCTAATGTGATAATATTTATATCTATGTAGATAAAACGAAAAAAAGATCAAAGATGATTTTTAATATTTTAATGATAACCTGTGTAAAATGTATATAATTAATTTATTATGTACGTATTTAATTATTATAAAGTATTCATTATGTAAAAATCTGAATTTATATTTATATATCACAGAAAAATATACAAATTTAAGTAATATTATATAGAGAATAATGTCGATCAACTAAAATAGCTGGTCTCAACTCAAACGCATTTTTACGTAGGCGAGTAATCTGTAATATTATACTATATCCTATTTTTTTATTGAGTAAATATCTAATAAATAATAATACCAATAGTAGAACATTTTTTTTTTAAAGGAAAATAAAAATAATAGAATAAACAAATATACTGGCATATGCACATATTATAACCTACCAAAATTATTATTAATTATCAGACTAATTTTATAATTACAGAATGGTCAGAATGGTACTAGAAGAAAATAGAATTAATAGTTGTTAATAAAAAATTAAATCTTATTATTTTATTACTCATTAATATTTTATCTATTATTTTGTTTAAACGATAATTTTATAGTTTAATTTAAAGTATTAGTTGTTAACTTTCATAACTCAATTTAATAACTCTATTAATAATAATAATAATAATAATAATAATAATAATCTTAATTTATCAATGAACATTAAAATAAACACTTTTACTAACGCTTGAGTAGATAAAATAAAATATTCGATGTTAAAGTTATTTTTATACGTGAATTAGATTTTTATTTTGAATGTTGAAGTGAACTATAATCATTAAAAATGAATAATGTTTTAAAAATATAGAAATGTATAAGTAATTTAAATTTAACTTTGTACTTGTACATAATATATACCAACATGTATGCTTATAATACGTATAATGTATATGCTTATTATTAGACGGATAGTAGAAATATAAACCATACTATAAATAAACAATGTCTAGGAAGAATTGGTGAGTCAATCAATCACTTGAAAGTTGAAATAAAAAAATAGAAGATTGAACACTAATAAATATGTATTTTTTCACGTACCTACCTAAGGTTATATGAATATTAAAATATCTCTTGGCCTGTTACACTAACCATGAAAAAATAATTAAATTCTTTAGTTAATATCTGATTTTTATAAAACAATTTTATTTTGTAAACAAATAAACCGGTTTTCAAAGGGTCGCGGATTTCGCAAAAATTCCATTAAAACACAGGTTTGAATTCGTTTGACTAAATTATAAAATGTGTTATTTTCTTCACCATGCTCAATTTTATTTTGATATGTACAAACTTTGTATAGTTATCTACTTGCAATCTATAAATTTCATAAAATGAGCTTAGATGAAATTATAATTGTATATGTAACAACATGACTAAAAATAGCAGTAAAAATATTTTATGTTTAAAGTAAATTCATTTCTATACTCATTTATATACATTTGAATAGTAATGTATTAATAATGGCATAAATGTACAAATTACATTTTCAATGAAATAATACTTAATATTAAACAACTAAAATACTCTTTGAAAAATAAAAATTACATAACTTAAAAATTAATTTGGCATTATATAGAATAAAAAAAAAAAAATCGGAAATCACGAAGGTGTAGTTAACCATACAAGGCACAAATACATCATACATATTGTGTATATAATAAATGTATAAAGGTACACATAATATGTATGGATAATCAAACCATATAATATAATCCAAGTTATAAATTGTAATAAACATTTAAAGTGACATAGTATGAATCTCTTAAGATTTATATTAAAAATATAAAAACACAAAAAAATCTTAATTAGGTACTACAATTAAGTATTTTATTAAACACTAAATCAAAAATCACATCATATTATTCTATTAACGTTTGATCTAATACATAATATTTAATAATAGGTAAGAAATTACGCTTAATGACATATATTATGACGTATATTAGCAAGTACTTATTACTCAACTAAAAACATAACACGATTAGGTACTCGCACTACATTTAATAATTATAATATTGAAAAACGAATTAATTTAAGTAATTAATCGTGTTTAATACATGTAATAAACCATCTAAAACAAGCTTTACACAAGCTCTATAAAATAAGTTAAATTTATAAAAAAAACAAGTGAGATACTTAAATTTATAATATACCTATAGATAATAAATAACAATATGTGAATAAAATGGACTAATCAGTGACTATAAATATAAATATAAAAATAATATTACTACAGGTACTAGATACTAAAATAAACAGAATATAATAATTTCTACTTTATTTTTATTATTTCTACTACCTAAAATTTCTTTTGTTTGTATAAGCATAAAAATGTGTTTAGATAATAGTATTTAAAATAGAAAATAATTTAAATACTCAAACACAAATAGACAAAAATTAGAGTAAAATTAATTACATACAGAAATACTATTTAAAATGTAATAAAATATATGTGCTTCAAATTCCTTAGTTATGAAAAAAAGCTGTAAGCTCTCAATAGCATAAGATATTTATATATTATATTGTAAAAATAACCATAATAAAAATATTTTTTTTTTAAATCACGCTAGTTAAAAAAAACTGGCACAATATTTTAAATAGAGCTTATATTTAGGTATATAAAAATATATCTCTGATTATTACCAAATAATAATGGACTTATAAAAAACAATCAAATATATACATTGATTGTATAATATGATGCTCTATCTACAAAAAAATTAATGCATACGGGATCAATCATAAACACAAAAGTCTAGTTTATAGGACGTTGCTGTGTTATAGAATTGAAATGCAAACGATGATATTATATTTCAAACACTAATAAACGGATTCCAAGTATAATTATTTAGTTAAAACCAATTTGGAAAAAAACGAATTGAAGGGTTTTATGCAATTTTTCAAGTAATTTACAAAAACGAATACTAAAAATCAAGTTATGCAATAGTATGATATAATTATCATTATTAAATACTAAAATTAAATCGTATTTTTATTTTTATGAAAAAAATATATGACTTACCGATATAAAGCGTTGACGGAAAGAAGGTCTATGGCAGAGTGTCGGACTGACGACGATCGGCAGAGCTTATATGTTACTGTAGTTGCGTTATTGTTGACTACAGTCTGTTGTTGTTATTGTCGATGAGGAGTGTGAAGTGTGCGTGCGCGGCGCGGCGGGTCACCGTTTGTGCGAACTGTGCTATTAATTTACGAGACGTTCACGTTTGAAGACGGTGTCCTTGGTGGGAGAAATCCAAAACCGTAAGTATTGTATTTAATGTCACAGATATCGCTTTTAAAAATCTTTCACAAATAACCAAACGGCCAAAACTGATTTATACTTTATTTAGCGTTCCAATACTATATATATATATATATACTTGAGTTTTTACAGGATTGCCATTTACGGAAGTTCTGGGACACTACCAATTTCATGACTTAGGTCTTTGTAACCCGGAAAGGAGAACCGGGATGCTTGAATATTCAGATTGAAAGATGTTGTTAAAGTAATAGTGACTTTTTACAAAAATATCTCAAAAAACATTCATTTATCTACTGTAGACTATACTCTATAGGTACATAGAGTATAGATAATCGTGCCGAAATCCATAGACATAATGTACCTATTATTTATTATGTATTTATATCAATGTTGAATTAGACCGTATTAGTTCAATATCGGTTTTGTTAATTATAATATTAACTTAAATTATTCTAGTAATTTTACGCTCGTTATTTTAGTTATTTTATATTTTGGTGTTTTTTATAACAACGATAAATAATATATTTTCGACATAGTAAATATTCAGATAAGTTAAACTTTAGAGCTTATACAATATAATAATATACATGGATATAAATGTTACAGTTATATTGATATCTAGGTTATAAGATTAAAATTATAACAATATGTACATTCACATCGTATAATAATATATTTATAAAATTCCATACTGATTTATAATATTAAACTGTAATATTATAAATCTGATTCAATATTATGTGCCCGTATAGCCGCCATATGTAACTGATGTCGCGCGTTTGTCGTTAAAACTTGACGTATAAGAACGCTATCAAACATGATCGTCGGATTTTTCGCTGAAATGAAAAATAAAAACGCCTAAATAAACACCTTTAATTTTATTATTTTCAGACTTTTAGTCAAAGTATCAGTTAGCTTGGCAAACCAGTTCGAAAAGCTTGATGACCCAAAATCGGTTCGTGACCTTATAGGTTAAAGAGTGGAAACTGAGACCATTCGACCTTCACTCTTATATTAATGTTAAAATTAGGTATAAATATAAACAAAATAATATGTAATTGGTTTCCGAGTCACATAAAGTGATCTTTTAAAAAATTACCAATCATTTATTATCATACAACTGTTCGAATCGGTTCCCAACTTTCCATAATACTTATATACACGAATCACGGGTACCTAATCTTCATTAAATAATCTTTATTAAAAAAATAATGCTTCTTTATTTAGTTTTTCGATGACTGGGAAAGTTCTCGTATCAGTCATATTATAACAATTTTATATTTTATATTAATTGTATGATATTTTAATATAATAGACTGACTACCAACACTGGCGACCATATCAAGATTATCTTGACAATCCTAAACCTGAGTAAAATTTAAAGGAAATTATTGTTGATTAAATAAATTATATTAATTTAAAAAAAGTTAATTCATCATAGATTTATTATTATAAAAGCTTAACAGAACCAATTGGCAATTTGTATATTACCTGTGGACAATTCTCAAACCATCTCATAGTTGTCCAGTATACTTTGGTTATAAGTTGAAAATTATAGCCGTATGAAGTTTTATTTTTACGGTACTACTAAAAAGCTATTGACAGTGGGTATAGTCAAAAACTTCACAAGACACAAATAGACTTTTATTTCGTAATTATTCTTTGATTTTCAATATTTTATTCTATAAACCTGTAATTTAAAAAGAAATTAAAAAATTTAGTTAAGGTTATGTAACGTTTTAAGTAAGACTACTTTTTTCTAATAACAAATATTAAAAATAGTCACTTTTTAGAACTTTATATTCAATTTACTATATACATAACACTATAAGAATTGTTATAAGTCCACCATTAACTTATTAATTATTAATAACAAAATATATCATAATATAATAATTTTAAATAAAACATCATGTCATATAATACTCTTAATGGTAATACATCTCCCATAATATGTACAAAATATTATTATTATATTAGTAATATTTCTCATGAATCATACATTAGACGTAGTTATAACTTAACATTATAACTATAGATGCAAATAGTGTTTGAAGTTTGGAGGGGCTGAAGTCAAAATCCATTCCAAAAACCTTAAAATAATTTTAAAAATTCTTATAATATATAACAATATCGACTAACAGACGATAGTCATTAATATTTGGGGAGGCTATACAGAATTTAGGGAGGCTTAGTCCCCCTAATCCCCCCCCAATTTCACTATATAGATTCACAGTTGGTTTGGTACTATAAGGAGTTTTCTTCGGTTTCCTAACGATTTTCATCTCCAGGTATATGACGTGGTCATTTGAAACATATCAAAAATGTTGAGTCAGTCGCATTTTAAAACCGACGACGATGTCTGTTATAGTAGCTCACCCATCCCGTCTTTCGTCATGCCGGTACAACGATGATGTCATCGTTAAATTATAAGCACGCGCACTCCCTAGAAAAGAACATATTAAATATATCGTGATGAATACGTCATGTTATTATAATAAACTAATTCTAAACGTTGTACCTAGTTTAGAGACATTATGACGTCGTCGCATGCAGTCTGTCGTATTCCAACAAAATTTTCGTTCTATTTAGAATAGCAATAGCAGGAGCTCAAATTTTTTGGATCAAAATAAGTTATATATATATATACTATAATATTATACAGCTTTGATATTATACACGTCAGATTCAATTAAAAATGAAAATTCTTGATACATAACAACGCTGTCATGTATACTAACGTTTTGTGGGACACACCATCTGTGCAATTTCACTCCATTTGTCTAAAATTAAACTTAATACATACATATAACTAATTATCATTCGTTAGAAATTCGATTTATGTATATTATAATTGTCAACATAATATTTGGCTTGAGAATATTAAATTAAAAATCTATAATATCAATCAGAAAAATATAAAAATTGAACAATGTACGTACTATGTTAATAAAAAATAAAAAATAAATTTCAAAAATGACATCAAATATTTTATTATTTATGTTTAGGTACAATTAAAGCAATCGCTTTATGTTGAACATTGGTGCTGTAATATACCTACATCATACATGTGAGCACAAACCTACTATCCATTATATCTATATATATTACGTGCGTGTGACTGCTGCTGCAATCGTGCTAGCAACAACTGTGTTTTGAATGAACAAATAATGATATTAAATATATAACATATAACTGCACAAGTACAACATTCACATCATGTGGTTTAAGCACACACGTATTCGAGGTAAAATATGCCAAAATTAATCATTTTGTAAAAATCGTATTTACTGCAATACAACTATATAAGGAGGCACCTATGGGCTATGACCTACCTTCTATTCGTTACTATTTTTTTTTACATTATATACAATTCTCGAATTGGTAAATAAAAAAAACGGGAACTCAAATAGAAATTAATTATGCTAATTATTAAAAATCTATACAATACTGATTATTTTTGGTTAATAACAAATACAGTAGAAGCCGCTTATTAGGAACACGGATAATTGATACAATCGCGTTATTGAAACAAAATGTCCCGGAATGGATCGACCCTAATGACGTATTAAAACATTGAAAATAAATTGGATTATTAAAACATCACATCGGTTATTTGAAACAATTAGGCAAAATCATGTTCACGTATATGTCAGTTGACATATACACCAGTTATCCGGCGATAATCAATGGGCTGGTACCGAATTGGTTCCCGAGCTCCAGCTCACGTGTCGAATTGGTTCCCGTTCAAAAAAGGTATTTTATTAAGTTGAGCCTAATTGGTTCCCGTTTAATTATGCACATTTTCCTTTTCAATTTTACAGACTTAGGACCGTCAACTTAAAAATAGGCTTGGTTAAAAATGGGCGTTAATATGTGTTATAAAAAAAATTAAATAATATATACAATTTTAAATCGTTGATTTGAAAGTCAACTACAGTCATCACTAGGTGTAGGCAAATAAAATACTGCTAGGTTCTTTAGGAATCCAAACTTGTAATTGTCAATAATCAACAACTTAGTTCCCTTTTCACTAAACATAAACTCCATAATTACGAAAAATTAAAATTACAAATTTATACGATGTGTTATTCGAGACTGTACAGTGCTCACTGCTCACTTACATTATTGTCATTCGTACTCAGAATATAGACAATATACCTAACCATACGGCAATAAAAATACATTTATCTCAATCGTTATCTTAATTGATCAGGTTATCACCGATAATTTGCTAAACTTCCAATACATAAATATATTGCCATCTTATTGTATACTATCTTATTTTATACTATAGAGTGTAGTGTAAGTACATTTATATTTTATAATAATATCTAATTTATATTTTGTATCAATTATTAAAAATTAAAAATTACCTGTCCACAAACGAGTACCAATTCGGCTCAACCTAATAAAATACCTTTTTCAAATGGAAACCAATTCGGTTACTCCCAATCAATGCACTTTAATATTATCTTTGCTATCGTTAGTTTATTTTTACTGTACTTTATATTGCGAGTACAGTACCTATGAAATAATGCTCTTTACTGTAGGTACGTAGGTATTGTTTGTAGTTTAAGACGCCCCTGGCACAGTGACACTCCTATCAAGCAAATAAATTATAGAAGCTCTTAGTGTCCTCAGGAAAGCAGTCCTGTACCATGCAGATGAAAATGGTTTGAGCAACATTATACTCGTATGAAAATATGGTCATGGAGTTACTCAACGCAAAAAAACAAACATCGATAGATACTTTTTCTAAATAAAATAAAATGTATACATACTTTTTTTTTAATTATACATACATAATTAATAATACATTGTATATTTTTTTAATTACAATATGTATTAAATATATAT